GAAGTTCTTCATGAATTAATTCACGAATTTATTGGTAAACAGTGTGGTTTTACACTGCTACAGACTTTGTCAAGTTTTTTGACGCATGAATCAGTTCTACCAACGAATCAAAGAAGCAAATAAATTTCAAAAATGTCACCTTTCCACTCATAATTGTAGTGATACAACAGCGGTACCGTTTTGACACATATTATATAAATATTAGTGTTTGTAAGTAACAAATCAGTAAAAACAATGCAAAACTAGTACGACGCCACACAATTATTTACATATTCCAATAACATAACCTCATTACTGATCTAAGGGTGGAAATCTGTTGGGTTGGTACTTCTGAACTTCACGAAGAAATAAATTGACGAAAATTAGAACATGCTCTAATTCGTCAAGAACTTGATGAACAAATTCATGAAGTTATTTGATAGCAGATTTGGTGCATTCCATGGGCGAAGTTAAGTCATCCCTCCATCAAAGCCCTAATATGAAAAAATGTATATATTTTTTTCATTTTATTTTTGTGTATGTATCAAAGTAAGGTAAGCATATTTTTCTATCAATCCATAAATATTAAAAGTAAATGAAAAAAACATTTTTTTTTTCAGTCAAATAATTTTATTTTAAAAGTTATTCAAATAAATTCTTCCAGAATATCGTCTAGAATCAGGGATTTTGAAATGTCACTTTCAATGTTAGCAAGTGCTAAAGAACTGAATCTGTCTTGACCCACGGTTGACCTTAAAATTTGGAAATGTGTATTTTCTGACAACATATGTAATATCGGATATACTAATATTTTCGTCCCGTTTCCTGACACAGTTCTCTATTACGATCGTTTCCGCCTTTAAAACCTCTTTATCAATTCCGACTTCTGTTGGGCAGTGACGCCGACTTGGCTTCGATTGAAATAACTTTCAAGTATGAAGTTATTAAATTATACAATTTTTTTTGTCAAAAAAATATGTTTTTTATTTTCTGTTCTGATGTGTATGTGTAATACTGTTTTTGGGGGGGCTAATTCGGATTTTGGGGGGGCTTAGCCCCCCCTTAACTTCGCCCATGTGCATTACACTTATCCAATTTCTTGATGAAGCGTCTTCATGAATTAATTGATCAATAAATTGTCAATGTAAAACAGCTATAATGAATAAGTTGTGTGGATGAACTTGTATGTATGTAAAAATGAAATACAAAGAGATCAACTACTGACCAAAATAATTTTGGATCTAAAATTAAATAATTTGTAAAGAATATAAAGACAATAAATACTCATATTATTTAAGACAATAATTCAGTTGTATTATTTGATTTTTCATAAAAAAAAATTTTTAGCTTAAATATAATTCTATTTATACATACACAGTGTTTTATTTATAAACATCCATGTTTACCCAACTTTTTATCCGTCTGTAGAAACTCAGATGTATAAATTTTACCTTACAACCTTAAGTAGTCAATTTTGTATCAAACTATGATTTTGTTTCAGGTTGCTTTCTACGAAATATTGAATGGCTTATGGGTAAGAAATGGTTTACAAATAAAAGGCCAAGCTATGACGTACATTCAATGTAATTTTTGCAATTCTATGGTGGATGCCGACCTTTACTTACTACAAATCTGCGCCACCAGAATAGCGACTGATAATTTCCTAAATACCGTTATTGAAAAGTAAGTAAACTAAACATTGCCTTTCTTGACTTTATAATCAAACTGAAATTTGAAAAATATTAATTTTCTTACTCTATTGATTTTAAATGACAATCCTCTTTTGCCTAACATATGAAATTATAAATTCGTAACGTGTGGCAATATCTATGCAGGGTCGCTGATGTGTATGGAAACGGTCGATTATCTCTTAAAGTAAGATAGCTATCGAGAAATCATAAGACAAACGTTTTAGGTTTTTTTTTAAATCTATTACAATAAAGAAAAATTAAGTATACAGAATCAGTCAAAAAGTCATGAAAATTGCTTTTTCTTTAATGGAACATCCTGTATATTATTCCATATTTCAATTATTGTCGAAATTTTAAACAAAATTCATAAAGCACATCATTTACCTAAATTAACTTTTTGAGATACTTCTCGAACTTTGAAAGTAACTTTTTACTACTCTCAAATTTATATAAGAAAAAAGGCCCCAAATTATGAATATTTATTTTGAAAATAACAAAGAAAATTACAGAAAATAAAAAAGCATACTAGTTCGGGGTTGATAAAAATACATGAAACGAAAAAAAATATTTTTTTAATGAATATTCTGAATATTTTTAATTTTATGAAAACAATAGTTATGTCAGAATAAAAAAAGAGAGAAAATAAGTTTTAATAAAAAAACAAATATTTTCTTTGGAATTTTATTTTATAAGGCGCTCAAAGTATTTACCATTTACCTCCTGATAGTAATGAATTCGCTGAACAAAATTTTATAGTGAATCTAAAATGGTGTTGGGAGGAACAGTGGAAATGCCATGCTTTATCCTTTCCATTTATCAGGAAAAGTTTTTTTATGTGGATATGATTTTTCCCATTTGTAAATTTTTTGAATGGAGTATCGATGATGTTATGATTTAATGTACCCTGTTCTGTCGAATTTATTGGATTTTCCACCACATCTAACATGACATTCAAAGAATTTTCTTCATTTCTAACTTTTACTGGTCTTCCACTTTTTCGTCGATCTGTAAGACCTCCACTTTCATGAAAACGCTACAATGTTTTTGAAACCGTTGTTTTAGAAATACATTCCATTCCCGATCGGGATTCAATTCATGAAAAATATCCACTATCCACTTCGTCACAACTTTGTGGTTTGACAGATTTAAAAAAATTCTTGTAAATTAAACAGTAGGTTTTCCAAAATGCAATTTTTTTTATTGATCTTGGAAACCTGAGCAGCTGAACCGGTCCGAGATCCCAGTACTTACATCACCAAATTGGCCCATACGATACTCACAACCATGAAAAAACAAAAAGGGACAATTGAGAGTGCATTCCCTAAATACGTGTAAGCGTCGGCTTTTATAGGTACCTAAAATTAAGAGCGTCTTAGCTAATCCAAAAAGTTGTATAACTACTATTGAATGAGTACAGCTGCATACTGGCACTCTGTAAAATCCAGCTCCACACTTGTCTTGTTTGTGTTCAAAATAACGCATGTATGGGTAAAAAAAAGTTTGCATTCAATATTTGGACATACACAAATGATTTTCCATCTTGAGTCGGTAAATCAACAATCAAATGTGGAGCTGGGATAAAAAAAAAACATCTTTCATTTCAACTGCAAGCATGTCACTGGCGTTATAACCCTGTAACTTTTTTAATAAAAGTTTTCAGACTCATGTTCATGAAACATTTTGTTTAAAATAACATGTCTTTATATTATGTTAGTTTGACAGCATATTTTAGAAAAATCCCTTATATACTATTTCGATAAATTCTATTTTAGACTGGGCGAATTTAGCATACCTATATTTTTTCAAGTCATATTCAGAAGGTATACATCACAATTAGTAATGGGCAAAAACTCGAATATTTTTTCAACAATTTCTCTCTTAATGAAAACGGCGCGGGAAAACGAACGGAAGCCTTATGACGTCACTCCACTTATTAGTGGCCAGCCCACATAGGTACTTGGCTTGTACCACATACATCACATAATATCTCTAGCTATGGAAGCAGATAAAATTATACAAAGTTAAACTATAAAATCCTCAAAACATTACAAATATTGATAATGGTCCCTGGTGTAAGAAGCGAATCAGCGCCTTTATGTAAATTGTTTAAAAGAAGAAAAAGAAACTTTTTTAAGTTAATATTTTTGTTGTCATATCATTTGGCTAAGTAAGTAATGACATTCGTGTATAAGTTAAAGTGAAATATTCACATAAATAATGATGAAATTAACATCAGTTATGATCTATTATGATCTATATTTATGATGCAAGAATGAGATATGTAAATGTGTTCTTATTTATATTTTATTTTTCAATTTACCCCAGGTAAAAGACTTAAAAAAAAGTAAAGTAAAAGTAATAATCAAAATGTTTTTCCGAATACAACACTATTAGATACATACTTATTAGTTACAAAAATAATATTTTAAAACGGGTAAATACCAAGCGCAAATAACTATCGCATTGTGGTTTGTGGTAATTTGTGGTACAAGAAGAGGATAAGTGACATGGAACTTGTCCTGATCTTCCACTTCTCTTATACTTTACATTATATTAAGCTCACATTTTCCATATTTGCGTCAGACGAAAAGAGTACATACTACATTTTTAAATCTATGAGTATATTTGCAGAAATATAATTTTTCAAAAAAAATGTTCTTATCCCCTTTTTGCACTGGAGTCAGTTGAAGTTGTGTGATGTAGTGATGCATATTTTTTACTTATCTGCATTTTACCATGTACGATTTTTGATTAGATAAAAATAGTTCAATCTAAATAACTCTTGACTGCTCCATTTGGGGCAAATGTTTATTTGAATAATTTTTAAATTTTTTAACATGTAGAAAAATACTAATAATCGAAAAAAAAAACAAAAACTACCACAGATAAGTAACTTAAGACAATAATAGCTAGTAGAGCATTGAGCTGTGGGGTCGAACTAGTTGAGTGGTGTGACGTCGCAAATGCTCGTCATATATTAGAAATTATTTATCACGGTTAGTATTAAAGATATCAACTTGATTTTTTTCGCCATATATTTAGAGGGTTAAGTGCTTACAGAAACTGTAAAATTTAATTAAGACTGAGTGAGCCCATTGAACATTTTACATTTTTATTACACCATTTTTTATTAATGTGAATATTTTTCTTCAAGGTTTCATGTTAAAGAGTGGATGAGTTTAGCACCTTATCAGGCACCTCAAAATGCATACCTAGAAGGAGAACATGATACACCAATGTTAGAAAGTTTCTTAACTTTTTTGGCAACCTTAATCAGTGTACGAACAAATTTAGGTAAAGAATCTTTGATTTTCTATTTAACTTATCCTAGTAATAATTTTATTTTAATAAAAAAATAAAACATTTATAGGAATATGGTATTCATCACAGTCTCTCTACTGCAATATAAAATCAGTCCATTTACATTCTTCTGCTATTAACGTATTACTTTAAATTTAAAATACAAATAACTTTATTTTTTCTACAATTCCTGTAAGATGTTTAAAATGCACATGAGAAGGACCTTTACATAATTTACCATTTGTAAAGTTATTTATATATCCACTATATATTTGTTTAGGCTTGTCGGAAACAGCTTTGAATCGTTTAGAAATGGTGACTCTTCTATGTATGGGTGACAAGACACATTCTCAACTTATGGAACTCATGCCTGAGAGGTGTGGTACTTCCCAAAGTCGTGATTTCGAATCTCTGTTAGCCGAAGTGGCAGATTATAGAGCACCAGCTCTAGAAGCTAGTGGTAACATGCAGCAGGGGATGTATGTACCCAAGCCTTTAATTTGGGAAAATCAATATGACCCAATTCACGTTTTACTCAGAGCGGTGCATAGAAGAGATTTCCAGACTTCTATGGATAGATATACAGAATAGTAAGTAAAATGAACTAAAAGTCTTTGTCATGAAAGAAGGAGGGATGGAGACTGTATACTTACGAGCTGCCCATAATAAGTTTGTCAATGATTTTCATTAAAAGTTAATAACTAATTATATGACCATTGTGTGATATTGGAAAATTAGCACATGAAAAATGTGCTTACAATTAGTTTTGAATTATTGTCAACTAAAAAGAACTTTATATCTTAAATATAATTTTTATAAATGAAGTAATGTTTTGTTTCCAGTCGCTACAGTATTTTATATATATATATAAGAGAAGTGTCGTATCTGGCTACAGGTTATTCAACTAATAACACTGTGCAACAACCAAAATCGGAATGGGATGAAACCAAAAGAAAATGAAAGTTGACGCTCTCCATAACAAAACCCTCATGTGTTTTTTCTAGTTCAGTGATCGTTTTTTTTTTACACGCATTTGAAGTTTGTGATTTTGGAGGGCTGTGTAGCAAGTGAAAATCATTAAAAATTTCATAAAATAATGCTTATTTATTTTTATTATCCTAGAAAGTTGTAATATTTTACTGTTTTTGGGGTCGAGGAATCCATTTTTGCTATTTATTTTTACATGAAACTAACGCTAGATGGCGCTGTCATACAAATTTTGCTATTTTTTCTAGATTTTCATAGAAAAAACGATTTTTTTACTTTTTTTGAGGCTAAAAAATCAATTTCTGATGTTGGCTGTATTGTAAAATATATTTATAATAATATTACAAAGTATATTTTATTGTTATCAGTACGCTACTATTACGTAGTCTGAAACTCTGACTCGGCGAAGTGTGATTTTTTTTATTATTTCATTAAAGACCAACATTTTAAGCAAAACTAAGCTGTTTAACAGACATGCGAACACGTACTTGTTATTGTATTTTATTTATTTAGATCTCTGTTTCAGAATTTTTACGTTTTGCATATTTATTTATCCATTTATTCATACTAATGTTTAAGCATTTACGTTGGTCTCTATTTGTACACACACATACAGGTAGACAGAAGATGATGCTTGGGCATTTTTACTTTTGTTTTTTGGAAAGATACATACACACATACGTATGGCACATATTGTTTAGTCAAGTAGCTTAAGCAAAATTATGAAAGAAAGAGACGAGTCATTGTGATCATAACTGTTAAAAGCGACGGTTGTTTCATTTAAAAGCGCCTTCCTACATTATTTTTTATTAATTTTTGTATATTGGTACCAAATTTTTTCGTGTGTTATATTTTGCACAAACATAACAATAAAATTTTAAATCCTGCAAACATTCATTCATTTTGAACTAAGATATATGTTATTCGTATCCAAAATACAAAAATTAATAAAAAATAATGTAGGAAGACGCTTTTAAATGAAACAACCGTCGCTTTTAACAGTTACGATCACAATGACTCGTCTCTTTCTTTCATAATTTTGCTTAAGCTATGTGACTAAACAATATGTGACAAACGTATGTGTGTATCTTTCCGAAAAACAAAAGTAAAAATGCCCAAGCATCTTCTTCTGTCTAACTGTATGTGTGTGTACAAATAGAGACAAACGTAAATGCTTAAACATTAGTATGTATAAATGTATAAATAAATATGCAAAACGTATAAATTCTGAAACAGAGATCTAAATAAATAAAATACAATAACAAGTACGTGTTCGCATGTCTGTTAAACAGCTTAGTTTTGCTTAAAATGTTGGTCTTTAATGAAATAATAAAAAAAATCACACTTCGCCGAGTCAGAGTTTCAGACTACGTAATAGTAGCGTACTGATAACAATAAAATGTACTTTGTAATATTATTATAAATATATTTTACAATACAGCCAACATCAGAAATTGATTTTTTAGCCTCAAAAAAAGTAAAAAAAATCGTTTTTTCTATGAAAATCTAGAAAAAATTGCAAAATTTGTACGACAGCGCCATCTAGCGTTAGTTTCATGTAAAAATAAATAGCAAAAATGGATTCCTCGACCCCAAAAACAGTAAAATACTACAACTTTCTAGGATAATAAAAATAAATAAGCATTATTTTATGAAATTTTTAATGATTTTCACTTGCTACACAGCCCTCCAAAATCACAAACTTCAAATACGTGTAAAAAAAATGATCACCGAACTAGGAAGAACCCATGAGGGTTTTGTTATGGAGAGCGTCAACTTTCATTTTCTTTTGGTTTCATCCCATTCCGATTGTGAAAGTTCAATTTTGTGCCACAGTGTAATTGATAATTCAACTAATTGTCCACAATATTCAAATATGTTGCTTATTTGCAGATTTTATGGCATAAAAGTATATTTACTCACTCCAAATTCTCTCATATGATTTCAAAACAGCAGGTATGTTTTTCAAAATTAAATTGATGCGGTATAAATTTATTATAATTAATAGTTGTCATCTCATTTATTTAGTTTTATTGAAGTTTCCGGTTAAATAATAAATACATATTTTTAAAATTTATGATAGATTTCTGCAATGATATAAAATGATTAGAAGGAAAAGCGGACTTTATACGAGGCATATCCACAAAGAAAGTACTCAATTTTTAAAAAATCGAAATGGCAATATTTATTAAAAATTTACACATTCAAAAAGGTACATCAAACACTATTTTTTTTAACATAATGGCCTTCAACCTCAATGCACTTTGTGAACCGAGGGATGAGCTTTCCGATACTGTCAAATAAATTTACCACCCCCCCTCTCGGGCCCATTGTTTACCCATAAACACTTTCAGAGAAGGTAAAAGATGAAAATCAGAAGGTGCTAGGTCAGGGCTGTGAGCGGGGTGGCTGATGATGTTCCAACCGAATGAATCCAAGAGTTGCTTTGTGGCATTGGCTGTGTGGGGACTTGCATTGTCATGCAACAAGCACATTTCCTTTGTTAACATTCCTCTTCTTTCGTTCCGTATTGCACTCCGTAGTGTTTTCTGGGTTTCACAGTACCCCGCAGTATTGTTTCCCCCTGGGGATAAAAGTCAATGAGGAGAATCCTTTTACGGTTCCAAAATACAGCTGCCATGATTTTTTTTCGGGCTGAAACAATGGTTTTGAACTTTTTCACTGATAGATGTCACCACTGCATTAATTATCTTTTTGTCTCAGGGGTGTAATAGGCCACCCACGTTTTGTTGACAGTCACAATACAGACAAGAAATTGTTCTCTTTCCAGTTTGAATCCCTCGAGAAATTAGTTACAATTGAGAGACGTCCGCTCCTTTGTTCATCATGAACATTTGTTCTGCCAACTTTAACTTGTAGACATTAGTACAATTCGTCACACCATCCCCATCAACAGTTTTAATTTCGTTAAAAATCTGGAACAGCACCTTTTCTCAGCAAGGAAAGTACTCTTACTTTTGTGAATATGCCTTGTAGTTCAACAGATTTTACGGTCAATTGCTAATAGTAGAGTTCACCCTCTGTCTCTTTATTGATCATTGTGTGTACCAACTAAACTAAAGTAAATTTAATTTTTTACATTGGAATTATTAGTGCAAGACAAGCGAATAAGCTAAAACCTGGTATAAGTCCTTGGCCTCCATTCAGGACTCCAGCTGACTGCTCTGAAGCCTATGAAGATCCTCGACAAATATTAAAATCCAGGGTTTTCCATGCAGCAGTTTTAGTTATTCTATATAAGGCTGTGAAGGGACATGTATCAGAGCATGTTATGGCACTTGTAATGTTTTTATTGGAGCAAGCAGTTATTATTTCTCAGCAAGATGATAATAAGGTAAATATTATTTAATTAAATGCTAACCCTTTATGCAGTTTATTAGATCAAAAAGAAATTTTTATTCAAAAGAACACTCCAGTAAAATTCCAAAGTTAAACAATTTGTAACATGCAAGTATTTTCAATTATTTTTAATAACTCAATTCAATTCAATTTTAATAACTTCAATTACTTTTAACAACCTATCTCTGTTGCCAAATATTTAAGCATAATTATGTAAAGTAACAAATGGGATTGTTACCATTTCTTGTTTTCATGGTATTTTTTCAAAGGGCTTGCCTAAAATATTTAACAAACAATTCATCATTGCTGATGATGATGATGATTCATTGATTGTCACTTAAAATTTTGTGCTAAAAAGAGGTACAGAATATTTCATTTTGGAATTAGCAAATGGAAAACATAATTTTTGAGAATTTGTGCATTAGAATGGTTTTTCTAGCAGCTGTACAATCGATTCCATGATCCTGATAGGCATAAACAATTTCAACTTACTATCCGTTAGTAGTTGCTATTAAATCTTTTAAATCAGTTGTGGTTAGACGTTCTGCTAATAGTTGACTTGACACAGTTCTGCTTTTTGCCTAGATATCTTACGAATAAAGAAATATTATACATTTTCCATTTTATAGATATTCTTTATAAAATTGTTGAGTTGAACATTGCAAAATAAGTCCTCGGAAATTAAATAACATGAAATAAAAAAAAATGGTCCGAAGTAAATACTTTTTCATGAAGCATTAGCACATACTACATTTTACGTATACAACCCAATGTCCTTGTAAAATGTCTTACTTTTTTATAAAAAAGATGTGTTTTTGTAGAATACCAAGATGTGCTCTGCAGCTCCACAAACTCATAATCAACTTAATGATATGGACCTGACAAACTGGTTTACTGCTGACTCCTTATTTGACAATCTCAGAACAGTTGTTGGGAGAGTCATTTTAACACCGGAGTCTGATTTTTCACCTATTACTTATAGTTCTGATAGTAAGTACTTTTTTAATCTTTCTGAATTTTGTAACGAGAGACAAGTTAATTTCAATATTTTCTGTAAATGTTTAAAAAAAAGTTAATCGTAATCGCAAATTTCTTTTGAAAATTTAAGATATGTTTTGGCAAAGTATAGCTTTAATGTCGATTAATCCTCCAATTTTATTTTATTCTCTTGCCTATCTTTTTTCTATCCTTATATATTACCTTAAACACATGTTAATACAGGGTTCATAGTGACCTAGAAAACCGGGAATACCGGGAAAAGTCAGGGAATTAATTATTCTTCATAAAAAACCTGGAATAGTCAGGGAATTTTAAAAGGATTCACGAAAGTCAGGGAATTTAATGTTTGCAACTGGAAATTTTGTGAAAACTGGTTCTGGGTTCTTGAAAAAGAAAACTATTTGTGATTTTGAAACTTTCATAAGAGGTTCTTTGGGTATAAAAAAGATTATGGAGTTGAATTTAGAAAAAGTGTAATACATAAACACCAATTAGTATGTAAAAATGACCCGCAAGTGACCTGAATTTTCTTTTATAAGTAAGGGAAAACCTGGAAAAGTCAGGGAATTCTATATTAATTTTGAACTATGAACCCTGTAATATATGTTTAAGTATTTTCTAGCTACTTATTGTAATTGATTCAGTTTGGCTATAAATAAACATTTTTTTCTACAAAACTGTTAAAAGTGGGCTTTTTAATTGTCATTTTTGATGTTAAAAATGTCATTTTTTGACACGCATGTTAAAAGTAAGTTACTTACTAGTGTTAAAAGTACTGGTTGCTACGAAAATTTTGATTCATAAACACTGCGATCTGTGTGGTATTTTTTGATTTCTTATTTTTATTGAGTTTAAAGTTCTTCCGATTGTTTTGTAGAAAAAATAGTGTATGATATACATGTTAAAAGTGATTTTATTTTTTTCGTGAAGTTAAAAAACTCGTACGCTCGTTTTTTAATCATCTTCACTCACAAAATAAAATGCCACTTTTAACACTTGTATCATAAATAAATATTTTGGACAAAATATTTTTTGTAAAAATAGAATCTATGTACTGTGTATGTCCAATGACCTTTTATTAGATTATGATATTAACGTACAAAGCTGTTATTACATGCCTGTGATAAATAATTATTTCATATGTGATATATCTATTGTTTTTATTTTTATCAAAGGCTAATAATTATTACTAGCTTTGAGTTGTAATGTTGTAATATATTATAATTTGAAGTATAATACTATACGGTTTGTTATTTTGAGCATAATAGAATTTATTTGGATATATTACATTTTGTCGATAACATCTAGCATATTAAAAAATAGTCAAGGTTGTTGCGTAATGGTTATTTTCATTCTATTGTATACAGGATGTCCTGAAATTAGCCTCCAATATTTTACCACCATATCCTATAGAAAAAGTATAAAAACATAGGCGGAGAAATGCCTCTAAGAGTGCTACAGCCCCATAAATGTTAACTGTGGAAAGTTGTTTTTTTCCAGATATCTCCAATGCCACTACACAAATAAAACAGTGAAATTTCGAACTGAGTATTTGGTGAATCTAATGTTTGAAAAATAATTTCTAAATTTTGGTCAGTGGCAACAAACTGGGGAGGCTTGTTAATAAATATTGCTCCAATTTTCATATGCGGACTTTTCAACTATTTCATCAAATATAAATTTTGCAGTGAAAAAGTATTCTCTTTTTATTTCAATTCATCATTGTGAAGTAAAAGTGATTTAAAAATTATGTTACATGCAGACTGGGAGCATGTGCCTTTTTGAAAGGGAAAATGGAGGTATTTCAGTGGTTATGTTTGTAGAAAACTTTTTTCATATTTTTGGTATTAGAACGAGATGATAAATTATTATAGATTAATTTTGGGATGCCCTATATATTTGAATGCTTTATCACAGCACATGTAATATTTTGTTTTTTTCCATTTATTTATCGTGTATTTTGTGACCTCTGAAAAAATTTTAAAAAATGTTAAAATAAACCCTTGTGCCAAAAGGATTAGTCAAGGGTTATTTTTGTGAAAAAAGTTTTGCCTAACCAAAAATCTATAATTGAAAGAAGCAGACTAATACAAAATACAAAAAAATCAATAAACAGTGAAAATGGGTTATAACGACCTTCAAGAGGCCGTTTGTTTGCGGTTGTTATAACCGATAGACGTAATAAGGAATTACATATACATATTTTATTCAAAATTTTTACTGAAAAAATAAGAAAATTAGAATACAAGTCTTTAAATATGTAAAATGTATTGTTTTGTGTACAGAAGATCTCGCGTGCTTAATTTTCAGTTAATTGTTTTTGAATCCTTCCAAATTGTTGAAATCGTAAAATGTGACACGCCACATTCTTTGCTATGTTTGCATTAGTTTCTCCGTTTTCTAGTCTCCATATAATATAACTGCATCTAGATAAGTCGTAATTTGTCCCAAACGTACTAACTGTTGTCAAAAGCGTGAATGCCGGCGGGGCAGGCGGAAGAGCGATGCATTGGTTTTAAGGTTATATGTCACCATTGGTCGTTATAGCCGATAGATTCTATGGCAAATGTATATAAAAACGCATAGCTAAATTCGCGATGTCATTGTAAACGGTGTCTTAGTAAACGATATTTTTAATGTGGTATTTATATAAGATTTAATCGGGACTTCCAAATTCCATCGTTATGTCCAATATGTCGTATAAAGCAATGTCATTATAACCAATTTTCACTGTATGTCTCACACTTTAAAAAGTTGTTAACATCATATGATATCTCTAACTGTGGAAACAAGCAAGAACAAATAAATTTGAACAGTCAAAAATAATTAAAAATAGTAACATATAAGTTTAAAAGAATTTTTTAAAGTGTGCAATATATATAGCAATGTGTTTTCTATATTTTGTATTTGTTTGCTTTTTTTCAGGGTAAGATTTTTGGTTAGACAAAATTTGAAGATTTTTAATCGAATAGTGTACAGCCACTATCAACTTGTGGCATGGTAGACTATCGATTCTGAATGAAAATTAAAGTTGTTATTATAAATACCCAAAATTTGCCAATAAATTAGAACCAGTTCCATGGGCATAGCTGCAAGCTAAGACCTAAAAAAAAGGCACGCACTTCAAAACCTAAAAATTTTGTTTCATTCTAAAAAAAAGGTCACGCAATCAGCAACCTACCGATATAAAATTTCAAAACCTAAACACTTTTTGAAACTTGCAACATGCAGCAACATTAATTTATTGAAGCTAAGAAATTTTCAAAAAAATTTCTCATTACACACATCGATATAAAATTGCCAATATCTTGATGAATTTGTTGGGTGAAAAATTGGTAAATGTGAAGCAGGTTTAAAGAAATGTCAGCGAGAAAGATATATGGGAACCCTTCTAACTCTTGACATTGCGCATGATTTATGGTTTGTTGACACTGTCAGATCTATGATCACAACCGACAAAAAGAGACAGTTTGTTACTTAAGACTTTGGCATACAGAACACGGTTTGTCACGGCCGGCAACGATTGCGGGTCTTCATGGTGGTTAGCAATCTAGTGATGTACTCTATATGGTATTCGGTGTGGCAGACCATGTTGTGTGTGCTAAAGCTTCTAAACTATTATAATATGATAATAAATGTAATAAGTAACAATAAAAAATACATAAATAATCTGATGTGACTGTCAGTCATAATGCTTGCTGGATCCTGATGACCCACTGATGTTAAAATTTATGTGTAAATTTCAGCTTTACTATAACTTAACTGATACTTAGTTTATTTAAATAAAGGATAACTGACATTCAAAATTTTATAGGTGATCTTGAATGGGAAGGCTCCGAAGTAGACACTGAAATGCCAGATATTACCATGGATGATACCAAAATGTTAATGTTGGGTGAGGGCTCGTCTAATTGGGATAGTAATCAAGAACAATCTGCTAGTACAGATTTAATGGTGTTCAGAGGTCAACAAGATCAGGATTCTCCTGCTATGGAGACCACTCCTACGGGTTCCGTTCTGGCTTTGCCTTCATCCACATCTGTTCCTATGGAAGTGGAAAGAATTATGAGTGTTGCACTCCCTGCATACATTTCTGTAAACCATCATGGTAATTATTTTATATATTTCTATTAATTTTCTAAGAAAATTTTTCATTCCTTCTTTCCCTTATACCGAATTATGAATTTTCATAGTAGTAACAATGATGTTCGTGTTCCTTTAAAGCTATTATTGAACTAGTTAATTTTTTTTTTTCAATTACATTTAATTTTTATTAATTTAATTTGTTTAAATTCAGAAATCACAAAGCCATTGTTAACCCTTTCACTGATCCAGACGTATATATTCGCTAAAAATTTATAGGGCTCAAACTGCTCCAGACGGATAAATTCGCATGAATAGTTAAATTGGATCAGGCTGCTCAAACCGTATATATTCGCAACCGTGCGCATAGTGACTCGGTTATTGGTAAGGCGAATTTTTGCGGGCGAGCTTATACCGATTGTGACAAATATTTTTATGGAAAGAGGTACTGGTAATAGTACCAAGATTGTTCATGTTTCTTTCAGTTTCTATTTAGTACATATACTGTATTTTATTCAAAATAAAATCGTAAAATTTATCGTAAATCGTAATTTAACACATCATAATGTAAAACTATTAAGTGGTCTAACTGCTCCAGACGTATATATTCGCACGCGATAAACAATCGCGCACGGCGCGGTAGCTACGTTCAGACGTATTGCGCAGCGAAAGGGTTAATAATAGATCTTTTTTACTCGTCTCAACTTCACCTTTAATTTGTAATGAATAAATTACACACCGTTAGAGGTGTATTACATGATATTTCTTTTGTACCTAATATTTTCCGAGTGGTACCATGTTAAATTAAATCAATATTAAAAAAATTGTTATTATTGTTTTTGATTGAATCATCTTGTGCAAAAAATAGCTAATGTTTCTTCAACATTACTTCTAGTGTACCTACGTGTGGAATTACTGTTATAACATAAATATGAGGGCTGATTCAAAAGTAAAGTTCCTCTATTTTTTAGGAATAGAAAACATTGTTTATTTTCATAGCAATTTACTTGGTTGTAAAGCTTAAACATTGAGCTATTTTTTTAACATAGTCTCCATTTCTATCCAAGTATTTTTAGATGGTGTTCCAACTGACTTCATCGTCGGTCCGGAAGCGTAGTTCCTTCAATTTTGGGAACAAGTGATAATCACTAGGAGCTAGCTCCGGACTATAGGGGTGGTGGGAAATGACAGTCTAACGAAATCTTTTCAGTAGGTCATGGGTTTGACGAGAGACGTGAGGTTGAGCATTATCGTGAAGAAGCATGACTCCTTTGCTCAGTTTTCCTCTCCGACGGTGCTGAGTTTCATTAGTGTGCCACAATACCTGTCTGAGTTTATCGTCCCTCCAAGAGGTAGAAAATAGATGAACAAGATCCCTTTACTGTCCCAAAACACATTAGCCATCACTTTGCCAGCAGACTCCGTTTGTTTAAACTTTTTTGGCTTAGGCGCCATTCACATGATTATTGTTTTGTTTCGGGTGTGAAATGAAGCGCCTACGTTTTGTCACCCGTAACAATTGAGTCCAATAATTCCTTTTTCTTGTCTCGACATTGTTGAAGAAATTGTCGGCACAATCGACACGCGGCCGCTTGTAGTCTTCTGTGAGCATTTACGGGACCCACCGCGTACCCAATTTTTCAGACAAAATTTTCTGAACTCAGCTAGCGGAAATCTCAGAAACCCGAAGAGCCAGTTCACTGATGGTTATCTTTCGATCTTTGAACGGTAGCCTCTCGACCTTTTCGGCAGTCTCATCTGGACCGTCTTCTGCTCTAGTCTTCATCATGAATGTTCATGCGACAATAATGAACTCCCTAAATGATTTGCGGACGTGTTGCATAGATATACACTTTTCACCATAACTTACATGAATATCTATAGGTAGAACCCCATTCGCGTTTAAAAACCATATAACTGCACGGGTTTCATACTTGGCTATAGCGGGTGTCAGGAGTTCCTTCGCGGACAACTGCCAGGCCAACACTAAATGGCAGAGACAAGCGAGGAGTATTGGGAGTGAGAGTGGGGGAGCTGCTGCACACGAGAGTGTTGCCAGATTTTGCCTAACACCTCTCCTTGCGGATCTACCGCTTTAGGAACCTTACTTTTGAATGAATCCTCATATAAATAGGTACTAATAAATTAATTAACTCCTAATCCATCAATAGGTTATTCTTGCTTTCTCTCATAATTTTAGGAAATATAAATTTTGCTTTACAAATAAGCTATAGCCATCTGCGTTGCAATAAATTTAATGATTTTCACATTAATTAATTTTTAAAAAAAAGGACACTTGTGAATTAATATAGGCAGACAAAAGATAAGTTCCAGTAATTTTTATTATGTGGCATTTCTAGGGATTTCCCTTTTGTTCTTCATCTCTTCATTACTTTCTTTTTTTTTTAAGAAAATTGAAATAGACATATCAAATATCAATTTTTAATTTATCTATTACCTTTTTTTAAGCTTCTTCTAGTTCAGCCGAGCCTCCTGCCTTGCCCTCTCCAGCACAATTGCCAGCTCTTACAGCAGGTAATGAAATTGGTAGAGCGGTAATTTGGTCACGGCCGGGTCCTTCTAGTAAAGAATTAGTCCCCTCTACATCTCAAAATCACAGAAAATCCTATCCTTATAGACGAAGGCAAACGGTAGAAGTAAGTGAAAATTATTATACGAAGGCAAGAGCATTTTGTTAAAATATATTTCTTTAGAGACCTATTACAAATCCACCATCTGTAAAGGTCAATGAAAGTATAATTTCATTGCTTTTGAGATTACATTCTCAACTATCAGGTGTACCTGATAGTTACAATCTGGAAGAGGACGAGGAAGAGAACAGTTCGACTGCTTCTACTGAGGCCCCCATAGGAGATGGTGCTTATTACGTGGGCAAACTTCTAAGGAAGATATCTGCTTCGGACAGCAGCTGTAAAACTTGTATTCAGGTAAGCAGACTTTCTTTTTGTGTTATGAATATGCCCACTTATAGTGTAACAATAGTTCAGTCAAATAGTGTTTTTATCTGGAAAGTTGTGGGGTAGTTTTGACTTCTTCCACTCCACATGTTTCTTCGGGTGCTGAATCCGAATCTGACATTTGCTAACAAAATTTCGTAACGCAACTTTTAAAAAAATGCAAAAAAAAGTAAAAATCTCATTTTTTGAGGGTTTTTTGCTTATAACTTGAAAACTATAAACTTTTCGTAAATAATCACCCAATTGAAATGAAAGTACATAAAATTGTCTTCAAATTTCACTTTAGGTTTTTTCCTCCGACGAACCGTTCGGACTCAAGCGCTAGTTGAAAATTGACGTATTTCGTGTTGTTTATTGACCTTATTTTTTAGGTGTCTTAAGTTTATATAACATTTTATATAGAACAACTCTATGGCAAAAATGGATTTATTGTGTTACAGGAAACTCGAATGAAGCTTTGGCCATCCCAAGAAGAACGAGAAGAGGCGAAAAAACAAAGAGAAAATAAAGAACGCGAGGAGCGCAGAAGACGTGCAAAAGAACGTCAACAGAAACTTATGGCAGAATTTGCAAATAAGCAAAAGCAATTTATGGAAAAGGCAATGGAAATAGATGAGAATTCCGATAACATGGAAGAAGAAGTACTTGTTAGTAAACAAGAATATGACTGTGTTATATGTAATCAGAGTACACCTAGTACAGAGGAGAAGCCTATGGGTCTTGTTGTTTTAATACAAGCTACTAGTGTCATAGGCCACAGAAGGAGGTATGGACAGCCCGAGAGATCAGTTTTGCCGACGTGTGAAGAAGAAAGGGAATTTCTAAGAAGAGATGACACTTTGGCGGCCGAATTTGATCGACGAGTGGAAGAGTTAGATAGACACTTTGACCCAGTAAGACAAACATTTTATCTTAGAGTTTAAATTAATAAATATTACATATTTGTTTTATTCCAGCAGTCGTGGTTCCTTTCGGTTAATCTAGGTTGGGATGGAGGTGTACACGTTCAAACTTGTGGTCATCATTTACATTTAGATTGTTTAAATTCTTATCTACAATCCTTAAGGTCACAACAGCGTCAGCCTACTTTATCTCCGGAAAAGTAAGTAGCGAAATAATTGACAAAAGGGAAGTTTTTGATTTTTCTTTTCTAGGGGTGAATACCTGTGTCCATTATGTAGACAATTAGCAAACTCAGTACTACCTCTGTCCCCGCAATTAGGTGATAAAACGCAAATGGTCCGTTCAAGACCTAACGAGAGCATGTCACAAATTTTAGAAGAGCTTAGTAACTTTTTAAGAGAAAATGACCAAAAACCTGTAAGTATTTTTCTTATTGTTTGTTTTACACATTTTTTTTTCTGAATTATATTAAAAAAAGAGGGAAAATTGCACTTTTACACTTTTACCAAAAAAATTAATTGAAAACATCTTTATAAACTCTTTTAAGGGTTAATGTTATATTTCCAATAAAAAGTTGCTAATTCAATTCTGAACAAACTGACACTTAAAAAAAATAGGTAGCAGGCATTTGCAATTTTAAAAAAGATACAGCTTCCAAGTACATACGTTCTTATAATATAATAATTATATTTAGGCACTAGCGCAGAAAGGTTATTTTGTTATACCATATGGCATTACAATACATGTTATACAGGTTGTCCTGAATTGCATAAGCCAAACTTTATCTGATGATAAAACACTCAAAATAAGAAAACAAATCATAGAAGCATAGGTCATCGGATAATTAGTTTTTAAGTCTTGAATGAAAAAAAAAATTGCTCAAAAATATCTCATCCCAGAAAAAAATGCGTTCTGTAGCCGCTATAAAAATCGTTCAAATTACCAAAATTTTATTTTAGCTATAACTCCAAAACTTAATAACCTACTGAAAATTTGTTTGACTTTATTATTTGTCTTAAAAAACTATTAATGTTTCCGAAAATCCCAACTTTTTATATTTAATAACATTAGAAATATGCTAAGCATGATGATCAAAATGGGATACATGGAAGTCTATAAATGTTACAATAATAGAGGGTGATTCTTTAAATTATTTTAAAGAAAAAAGTTCCTGTCAACATATGAACTAAACGGCCTAGTTTTTAAGTATGTTGCAGTTGCAGGGTGTTAAATTTTTTCAAAAATATCATCTGTGCAAATAGGTACGTTGAAAGACGATTGTTATAGATTAACGTAACTTGAATTAAAAACTTAACTAGCAAAAGTAAATTCATTCAATTTGTCTGTTTTTAGTCCGGCTAAAAACTGCCCCGAAGAGGGGTTAAATGCATATATAACCCATTCTAATGGCCACATCTACATCATCCATTTTGAAGGGAGATAAAGCTCACAAACATATTGTTACGCCATCAACACCCCAAACCTTCCCTCCCAATGGCCAAGAACCAACCCCAAAAGGGGTTACAATCATCTCTGTTCGGCTCCAACCACTAAAACGCGCCAAAATCACCCTTCAAGCAGGTGAAAACACTTTTTTATATCATTGGCCAAATCTACTTATCCAAAATCTACACGTGTTTTTCGTCCACTCCTGTTACTGTTATAAAAAAACGTTAATTCTACGTCTTTGCCCACACTTCCAGGGACGTTTGTAGCCCCTTTTGGGTTTGGATCTTGGCCATTGGGAGGGGGATATATTCCTCCTTGAAAATGGGTGATGAAGTAGATTTGAATGGTGGAATAGGTTATATATGCGGATAATCCCTCTTCGGGGCAGTTTTTCACCAGTTTGGGGGAATAAAGGTGCTAGTAGAGTGACAGTATGTTCATGTTCCTTACAAATCGGTGACATCGCTATCCACATTGCATTTTTACTCCATGCAAATGAATGGGTGATATCACTATCCGCATTGCATTTTTATTTCATCTACACACAATTTGAAATGGGGGAAATGAAAAAAGGAGTAAAAGTAGCGAAAAACAAACCATCTGCGGGATTTTTATGATTGGAATTTTATTCCAGAGGCCAAAAATAATCATAGCAATTTTCATTTTTGATTGAGACTATTTCTCAATGTAATTAGTGTGCGGTCCTTTAATCTCTGCGTTAAGTTTTTTTTACTGACTCAAAGAAAAAGTCTATTTCATTGTGAATAGTTAAGAATAAATTTCTATAAAAAATTTTTGTGCGAAAAATAGTTTTAAAGTTATTTTTTATTTTTTCAAATATTTATCGATTGTCTTTAATATATTCCTTAAGTATGTGTGATACTTAACAGCCCTGTGCTCATTTCTTTTTTATTTTTAATCTACAAGCCTTATCCCATAATACTTGGCTCAACTTCATGAAAACTATCATTTATATTTTATTCCTAAATCATGATATAGAATTTAACTATAACATTATTTATTAATAACATTTGACGAGTTTTATATCTTAATACAAAAAATTACATTTTTATTAATATAAATATAAAAGAACGATATCCTTTGATTTAAACTGATGTTTAACAGTTATAATATGCAGCGGAAATGTAGTAAAAATTCAGTATCAAGTTGGCTTTGAAATAAACTTCAGTGTTTAGTCATTTAGTTTTAATAGATAGATTATATCGGCTTTGTAATAGTAGTCTGTCTGAAATTTCGATAAATGGATTCTGTAATTATTAACTTCGTTGCCATGATACACCTGCAGTGCACCGATTCTACTGTTACTGTCTGAAAATCCAAGACTCGGGTTAGTAAATATCAATTTTTCGCCTTTAATTTTGACACTTCGGCAGTTTACATAAATTATCCACATTTCAAGAGTATTTATCTCATTTGGTATATAAAAAATATAGATACTTTTCAGCTTCTATTTTAAAATATTAAAATGTACATTTATATAATTTCCAGTCTATTTTATCTACGTTTTTCACGTGTCATTACATTTTCGAGAAAATAATGCTCACATATCAGTAATAACCTGTCTTTCTTTCACTGTGAGAAACACACAACGCTGCATTAGTATAAGATTTTTTAATTTCTAGATTTAAATATAATACACGTTTGATTTATGATATTCGCATTCGCAAATATCTTTGAATATTTTGCGAATATGAACGTGAAAGGAAAATGCAGAATGTGAAAACAATATTAGGTAAATTAAACAAAGAAGTATTCATTTCTTTTTAATTACAAAACTTACTTAAAACAATTATATCTTTCTATAATCAACCTTTATATTTGGTGTTAATTAATCACCTTTCTTTAGACATTAGAAAACAAATATAACTATGTTTATATATATATTATATATGTATGTAGGTAATCTAATTAAGTATTGTTGTGATCAGTCTCTGTCTACACATATTTTGATAAACATTTAGACTTAAAAATTAAAAACTTATATAAGAAAAAAAACAAATCTTAAGCTTCATTCACAACCAGCCAATTACAATTACAATTAGTACTTAGAATTAATATTAGACGTAGGGTGAAAATGAACGTGTTTTGATCATTCAGAACGTCGAATTCTAGCGAAAATTAATTTACAGTGAAGGTCAAGTATTTCTCAATACCTAAGTGATTAGTGAACCCAATATTTTTCGCCGGAACGGCACTTTTCGTCTCGGAAACATAGTTTATTGCACAATAATAATTGAAACAAACAAATTTAATATAAACAAACATTCACCATATTTAAGGTTAGGTGATTTGTCATTTACTCATTTGTTTACAACAATGACAACAAGCGCGCAGGCGCAAATATTTTTCAATTGCAATTAGTGGCAAAAGCTTGGACTTTGCAAGGTACTAATAATTCTAAGTGTAAGTATAAGTGGAAACGTTAATTTAAAGGTTGTGAACCATCATATATAAAGTCACATGCCAAACTTTTACCGCTAATTCTAAGTACTAATTGTAATTGTAATTGGCTGGTTGTGAATGAAGCTTAAAACTTCTTTAAAAAAAAATAAACACTTTTTCTTAATTCTTTTATGAAACAGTTAATAATCAAACTTGAGAAGAGGAATATTAAACGGCATATTTTGAATCATAGATAAACGGCGCTAGATTTAAAAACTGATCATTCGTATTCGCATTCGCATTCGCGAATGTTAACAACAGATGTTTGCATTTGCATTCGCGAATGCTTTAAAAACTGGCATTCGGTACATCACTAATACACACCTCAACAAATATTTGACACAATGTCTAAAAAATGTCAGTATAATGATCTAAACATTGAGGCAACTTGTCAAAAATCCTGCAGTGTGCTGCCGTGTTTCTAAACTAACTGCAACAGGGCAATGGAACAGACTACAGAAGCAGCACAGGTGCTGCCGTTTAACAGGCAATGGTTTGACATTTTTAAACACCATGTCCAAACTTATACACACTGTTCTAGCAGAGAAGTGACCATAAGTCAGTGTAGTCTTGATTAATGCAGTGGTTTAATACATACTATTTATTTAATATTATAAAATTTGTAATTCTCTAAAAAATACTACTTTCATTTTTATAATTTTCGAAATACAATGAAATCTTCCTGACCGACTGAAAGTGTCCCTCCAAGAGGGGTGTCCGCCTAAAAGAAATAAGAAAAAAAATAGTTTTTTTTAATGAAAACTGTAATTAAAGAAATTGGGACATTTAAAACATATATGTATGTATTTACATACATACAACAAATGTCTTAAAATAAATAATAATAATAATAATAATAATAATAATAATAATAATAATAATAATACAAATCCAATTACAGGACAAATTTATAAGTATCAGATACAGAACAAAAAAAAAAACAAATAAAAGAATGCCGAAAAATTATAAAACAAATACAAAAAAAATGTAAAAAAATATGTACATTATATGCATATAGTATACACAACCTAGTTCCTAGATGCTGAACTTAACAACAGCACAATTAACAATTTGCGAGAGAGTATTAGCATTAACATCGCAAGTATCAGATATCAAATTGAAATTTTTGCACATAATATACAGGATGATTCATTAACAATGGGAAAGTCAAAAGCTGAAGATACTACACGTGAAATGGTGACCATTGGCGCAAACATGCCTTATCTGAAAGTTAATAGTTTCGAAAATACAGGGTGTTGAAAGTTAAAATTTTAAATCGTTTTTTTGCGATTATTCTAAAAATATATAGGTTAGGAACTTGAAAATTTGTGAAACTATATTTTTTTAGGCGACGAATAAGATGCGTGTTGTAATTTTAGCATTGCTCATAGAGGGCGCCACTTACGGCCAATTTTACCGAACTTAATAACTTTTAATCCTGTATATTTAACATGAAACTTGATTCAAAACCTGAAAGAGCTATCATGTTCCCATTAATTATGTAC